GCATTGATCTTGGGGTAAATTGTCTCAAATTGGCCAAAAAGACTTTTTCTTTTTAATTAGGGGACTTAATCCTTTGGAACCACAGCTTTCTCACATGGCTCACCAAAAGGATTTGTCATTATTTATTTACGTTTATTTTTTCAACTAATACAACTACCATTGTCTTGATCAAAAGTATCTTAATTACCAAATTTGAGAAGGAAATTAAATATTCAAATAATGGACCAATAGTTGGATACCTTTTTGAAAATGATAAAAGTTGGACTTTATTTTCTTCAGTATAGAATTGAGTAGTGAAAATTAATTAGTAATGGTGAGATCCCACCATTTTGTTTATTGGTGTTAGTGGTATGTATATTCGTAATTATCTTTTCTCATACTACATATGCATAAACATACATTAATACGTACGTATATTGGAATAATGTGATCCACCATTAGGGGTGGCAATTCGTGTTCATGGGTAGTGTTTATGTCATATCGATGTAAGGGTATTATATTAAATAGGTAAACTCAAACCCAACTCATTTAATAATCGTGTTAAGAATTCTCAACACTAACCCAACCTGTTTAATAGACATGTAAATGTGTTAACCCATTTAATGACCTGTTTATCAAAATGAGACATTTAATATTTAATCAAATATTAAATAATAGAAAAAAATTGTCATAATTAACCAAAATATTCAAAATAAAAAAAAAAATTATAAGGCATATTCAAGATTTAAGTCAAAATGACTTAAATATTCATAATAATTGGATTTAAATAGGTAACATATTACATAGGTCATATTCAAGATTATAACATATTGAGTTAAATTGGTTATAAACGGGTTACACAGGTTAAATCCCTCAACCCTAACCCGACACGATTAAGTAAACGGGTTAATCGTGTTGACCCTTTTATGCCTCAAACCCATTAATGCCAAACTCAAACCCTTTTAACTCGTGTCGTACTCAGTTATGAGTGGCATATGTCTCAAATTATGTCCGATGATGTTATTCTAGAAGAGTCTGATCTGTCCTACTAAGATCGACTGGTTGCACTTGCCAAAGCAATGAAGACTTAGGTTCTGGAGAAGACCAGTTATTTTTTTACAAACTGGTTGCATTTGCCTAATATTTGTGGGACTTATTTTCTTATTTAAAAAATTGATTTTCTAAAGGCTGCAGACTTATAGGACAAGTTACTACTTTGTAATTAAAGAAGTTTTCTTATATTAAGTTGCTGTTTTAGAGTTGTGTGGTTGATATGACAACTTCTTTTTTAATAAGGTACGAGAATCATTATTCAATAAGTAATGTACTAATAACTCTATAAATAGAAGTCGAGTTGTGCGGATCAACAAGGTAGAAAAAAGATGCATGAGTTGAATGCGTAAGCAGAGAAGAGAGTGAGTAACAATAGAGGATGTAGCCTCATAAGAAATGAATTAGCTCTTAACCAAAAATCAAGAGCGAGTTGACTTTGAGACAAAAATGAGTCCTTGGTTGGTAGATAGACTTCTTATGGAGTGGGTTTAATGTATTCTCTACTTGTAATATCTCTTCTTGATTCATAATTGTGAAAGTCCTCTCTCCATAGACGTAGCCCTAGTTGGAACGTGTTTGAAAACATTGTTCTTTTTAGAAAGGCTTTCAAAATATTCTTTAAATATATTACTTCCCTACTTTATATTACTTCCCTACTTAATCTATTTGCTTTGAGATTTTGCCAAGGCCATAGTTGAGAAAGTTGACGAGCACAACAACAACAGCTATCATTTGGTCCACCTTTTGTGGGATTTGGAGGAGTTTTATTTGGAGTCAATTAAGTTAGGGTTTTGCTCCACAATTGAGATAGGGGTGCCTAACTTACATTTTTCATGGCTCAGGGAGTTAAAAATAAGGCGTTTCTCTTGTTTTATAGCATGCTTGATTATACGATTACCATGATATTTGCCCTCAATAGTTTAGTATGTTGTTAAATGTTTTGCCTTCTTGATGTGAATCGATGAATTCGTGTTTCTTTCATGTTAAACTTGGCTTAGTATGTTGTCAATAATGTGTCAATTGTATGTGACTATGTTCATGCTAAGTTAACTTAATTGAGTAAATTTGCGTTCTTGATGTTCAAATGAGTTGCTAGCATGCTTACTATGTTTAAATTGAACCTTTTACTTACTAGCACGGCGGAGCCAAAAATTAAATTCAGGAGATGTACTGTGTAAAAAATAAAAAATTCAACAATCACAACAATAAATATAGATTCTTTAAATCAAGAGACAAAGAAAAAAAAATACTCAAAATAATATGTTAATTAATGAGTAATTAAGAAAGATAAATAGTTAACAAAAATTTTTTTTAAAAAAAAAAAAAGAAAAATGAGAGAATTTTGAAAGGGAAAAAAATTATAGTTTGATTCAAAAAAGAAAATTTTGACTTTTTTCTAAAGGAAATTAAACGAATTTAAAGAGTAAAAAAGAGAAGAAATACAAAATTTAAAAGAAAATTTTAGAAAATAAAAATTTTAGGGGGGGGATTATATGAATTTTTTCATATATATATATAAAAATATACAAATTTAATATATATATTATAGTAAGCGGGGCTAGGCTAGGGAGCAAGTGCCCCCCGAACATACACTGTCACTAGTTCCGCCCCTTTACCAGTATGTCTTATGTTCGATAAAGTGCCTAGGTGATGCTTATCATGGATATATGTATTGGGTAGAGCATGTGTAACTCTAGTAAATTAATAAATTGTTGATAAACATGCAATGTTGGTATAGTCATCTCTAGGGGTGCAAGTAGGGCAGGTTAGCCCAGCCCAACCCAACCCAAAAAGCTTGGGTTGGGCTTACAATTTTAGAAGCTTGGGTTGGGATTGGGTTGAAAATTCTCAACCTGGCCCAATTCGAGTTGGCCACAAGTTAGAACTGTTCTAACCCGAACCCAACCTGTCCAACCCAAATTTGATTTTTTAACCTTTTTTTTTTTTTTTTTTAAACCTTAGATTTGCAACCAAAAAAAAAAAAAATCATTATGTTCAAACTAGAAGCCGTCACCAGTCCACCACCTGCCGCCGCTTACCAAGTACCACCTCTGGCGCCGCATGCCTTCCTCCATCACCGCCGTTTTCATCCTCCTCTACCGCCACTGTCTTCCTCCTCCATCTCAGCCTCCTGATGTGTTCGGGAGTGGGTGTTGGAAAAAAAAAAAAAAAAAAAAAATTGATGTAGAGAAAGGGTGTTGTTTGATTGTGAATTTTTTTTTTTTTTTTTTTTTTTAAAACAGATCTTTAAATTGATTGATGCCGAGGAGAAAAGTGGTTGTGTTGTTTGGGGGTGGGTGGTGAAAAAATAAATTTTTTGATTTGGTCAATTGTTTTTGAAACCCAAATTGAAGATTTCAAGTCTTTTTTTTTAATTTTTTTTTGGAGAGAAGAAAGAATGGCTTAATGTTTCTAGGGTTTGATGAGATCCTTTAAATGTTAGACTGGATGATTAGGATTAAGCTATAATTTTATTTGAATGATCAATTGTGATGGATAGGTGTAAATACGCAAGTAAGAGAGAGATATTTTAAAATAATAGTAATAATAATGTGTCAATCCAATTAATCTGCCAAACAAAAATATATATATACACTGCCTTTCAATATTTTAAAAATATCACTAATATATACATATTACTCATTTGCAATGATATATTAAAAATCTTTTTGAAATTAAATTCAAATAGTAAAAAAGGGAAAAAAAAAAAATTTAGACCTATTGTTTTGAAAAAAAAAAAAAAAAAAATGGAAAGAAAATGGGGTTGACCCGAATAACCCGCCCGACTCGTGAATATTTGGGTTGAAGCCCAGATTTGTGTTACCTCGGGTTGGCCCAACCCAACCCGAAATCGTGTTAAGGTCGGGTTCAGGCTGGGCAGGCCTAAGCTACACACCTACAAGTCACACAGTATGGTGTGGGTGCCGTGTGGTGGTTGATTTTTCAAAGTTTGTTGGAAAACAGATGCAAAAAATGGGAAGATGGGGCTGCCTATGTTTAGGTCTGTAAACCAACCTAGAGGGAGTACAGGGAAAATGCTTTGTATACGGTTGAGTTATCTTGGCCTCAAATGATGATGGACGACTACCTATGCTAGGGATAATTAACCAACTTTCCTCGTGGTGACGGGAAGTTGCCATGTGCCGGGTTGTGTTAACAGGTTTTCAATGCAGGTTGAGTTGGGTGGTGATTATGATGGCTGGTGTGTGAGTTAGTGAGGCACAACATGCATTCCATTGTTCCATTATATTATGTCCTACTATTGCCATCATGTATCACATATAAAAGTATGCTTGTTGAATTATATTTTCCCTTCCCAAGTATGATCCCTTTATCCATGCTATCCTTTTTTCCTCGTGGTTGTTTGAGCATGACTCACATGGCTATAGGAGTTAAAAAAAAAAAAAAACAAACACACACACAAAGAATGGAGATGCATTTCAGCCATGGATTCTGGCAGAATATATATAGAGAGAGAGAGTCGATTCTGATTTGAGAGGAGGGGGGTGGTAAATAAATATACAAACCACCTGGCTAACAGCAAATATAGCCAATTAATTACAACTCCAAAGTTCAAAAACATAATTCAAAGAAAAATAAAAAATAAAAAAAATAAAAAAAAAAGGATCAAACACTACATATCTATATATAGCAAGCAGTCATAAAAGGAAGTTGACGAAAGGTAAAATATCCAATCCCAAGATTCTAGACTAATTCAGCCTAATCATGGACATTGACAACCTATATCTACAAAGTCAAAGGGAATAAACTAATTATATCCATCATATGCAAGTATTCAAATGACTTGCTCAACATAATCTAATGATAATTTACTTAATTAACAAAAAAGTACAGTGGTATAAATGCATATATATATAGATATATAACAGAAGGTACCTTTATGCTTCAAATCAGAGCTGAGAGACACATAATCCTCTTAGCTATCTCAACACATTCCGTATACAATCATGTCGACCTTTCTTACGCTTTTATTTAAGTGGGTTTCTTTGCTTTCTCTAATCTCCTCAACCATTAATGTGTCTGCAAGTTTATACAGACTGCCAAGACTCGACCTTTTCGAAGGAGAACGTGGAAAAGAAGTACAAACACAGGCAGAAGAAAAAATCCCAAAAGAATTTAAAACCTTTTTCTACACCCAAACACTTGATCACTTCAATTACCTGCCTGAGAGCTATACCACTTTCAAACAAAAATATATGATAAATTTCAAATACTGGGGTGGTGCGAAGAAAAACGCGCCAATCTTCGTTTATCTTGGTGAGGAGTCACCATTGGATGGTAACATGTTGAAAAATAGTGGGCTTCTAATTGAGAATATCCCTGATTTTAAAGCTCTCTTAATCTATATAGAGGTAGAGTACTAAATTAATCCAAGACCTCTAGCTTTATATATTTTCATTTGTTTTAGAGTGTTTACGTTAAACTGCATGCGTGTTTGTTTGTTCATGTATCAGCATCGGTACTATGGAACATCAGTTCCATTCGGATCAGCTGAAAAAGTAATGAAGAACGCTACTCTTCGTGGTTATTTCAATTCAGCTCAAGCATTAGCAGATTATGCTGAAATAATTTTATATCTCAAGGAGAAATTTCATGCACACTACTCTCCTGTTATTGTCTTTGGAGGATCCTATGGAGGAAGTAAGCAAGCAACTATATATATATGTATATATATATATATATATATATATAATACTCAGTTATATATATATATATATATATATATATATATATAGTCTTAACCATTAATTACCCAATTATATATATTATATATATACATCTATATCGTTTTTTTTTTTTTTGTCTGAATGATTTCCCATGCATACTATTCTTGAAAATTTGCAGTGCTTGCAACATGGTTTCGGCTACACTATCCCCACGTCGCCTTGGGAGCTCTAGCCTCTTCTGCACCTGTCCTTTCCTTCTATAGTCTCAATCCAGAAGGCCAGTATTTTTCCATTGTCACAAAGGATTTCAAGGTACAAATAAGCTAATTAATTTAACTATTAATTGTTTTTCCTTCCAAGTTAATTTGAGTCATTCGAGTGGCATCTTGCCTAGTGGTATAATGAAGTATGTATTGGCTGCTAACATTGCAGGATACCAGTAACAGTTGCTACCAGACTATAAAAAATTCATGGTCTGAAATTGATAAAGTCGCTTCTCAGCCAAATGGTCTTTCAATACTTAGCCAAAGATTCCAGACTTGCAAGTAATAACTTAATTACTCATATAATCTTAATTAATTAACTAATTACTCTCTTTATTTATATATATATATATATATATATATATATATATATATATATATTTCAACGTATTAATTAATTATATTACTTGTATAATTTAATTTTCTTGACAAATTAAAACTGAATGATTCTCAAATTAATTAATTGGTTGGATCAGGCCCTTAAACAGTTCGAAATTGCTAAAGGACTTCTTAGAAATAAAGTATGCCGATGCAGCTCAATATAATGGTCCAACAAGATATCCGGTTACTAAGATGTGTGAAGCCATTGATGGAACACCTAAAGGAACTGATATTCTTGGCCAGATATTTGCTGGTCTCGTTGCCCATGCAGGCAAAAAATCATGCTATAACATGACGTCAACACCAAGAATTGATGAGGTGGCGTGGCACTGGCAAGTAAGTTGCATATATATCTATATATATATATAGTTAATTATCATAATATATTATATATAAAACTCTGGAATTTGACCTTTGAATTAGTTTTCCAAAAAAAAAAAAATCTCATGAATTCTAGCTAAAACACAGTAAATGTGTTTGGAAACTTAAAAAAATAAAGTTATCTGAAAACATGCAATTTATTTAACTAAATTTTCAAAAACGTCAAGTGATCGATAACTTTTCATAAGATTTTTTTATTTATCATTTTCAAAAAATTTAATCAAACAAATCTTAAAATTTCCTCATTTGAAGTTTTGGGTGCTGTATCTAGGAATGCAGTGAGTTGGTGGATCCCATTGATTATCGTCGAAATGAGGACAGTATGTTTGAAAGATTGGATGATTACAATTTTAGTAACTTCACCCAAGATTGCATTACAGAATTTGGCGTCCCGCCAAGACCTTATTGGGCCACAACCTATTTCGGAGGCCAAGTATGTACTTAATTTTGATGTATATATTTTTCCAAACTTTTTTTAAGTGCTTCGGATGATTATTATATTCATTTTAATTATATAATAATTAATGAATAACGTTTAGAAGTTACAAAGTTCTTTCCAACGGCTCATTGTAGGACATAAGATTGGTTCTCAAAAGGTTTGGTAGCAACATCCTTTTCTCCAACGGACTGCAAGATCCCTATAGTATTGCCGGCGGGTATATATCCATCTGAAAAATACTTCCCTTTTTTTTTTTTTTTCTATCCTTTTGTCTTAGTCTAGTTGACCTAATAATATATTTGTTTTCTCCTCTCGTGACAGGGTATTGGAGGACATTTCGGACACTATTGTTGCCGTCAATACAGCTAAGGGTAGGTGACAATTTATATATAGACCCTTGATAGCATAGCTTAGGATTACATGCATAATACAAATTAAGACAGAAAATGATATATATTTACCTATGTACATATATATATATGTATATGTATATATTATTAGAGAAACCTAAACTATTCGAGAAACCTAAACTACTATGTAACTTGATAAGTTAACCAACTGCTCTAAAATCTTTCTTTATTGATCAAAATGATCTTGGATCATTTTTAGATCCATGAATCGCCTCCTAAGATAAGTGAATTATATACACTCACAAACCTTCTTCTTCTTTTTTTCTTTTTCTTTTTTTTGTCATAAAGGGTTTGCACTTTGCAGTTAATCCTAGAATATGTGTGTAATATGCATGAATATATAACAAATTTGCTCTTTGATTAAAATAATATTAATATTTCAAGAGATTTACAATATCTATTTTAATTTGTAGGAGCTCATTGGTCAGACTTAGGGGCATTTAGGAAAAGTACTGATCCAGATTGGTTGGTCAAGCAACGAGAAAGAGAGATGGAGATCATCAAAGGGTGGATCACAAAGTACTATGCTGATCTTTCATCCATGAAGAAAAAATAAATATTGTTGAGCATTTTAGTATTAATATATAAGGATGCATGTACTCAAAGTCGATCACTATAGGAACCTAACTTGCTGTTGGGTCCTGTTATATTGTACAGTTAATTCTCTTCTTCAAATGAATTGATTTACCTTTCAAAAAAAAAATCATTCTAGGAAATTAAATAATGGTTCTGTACAGCAGAACTATAGACCATATTTATGTAACTAATTTTCATCCCAATTAAATTCGTTACATGGTTAAAATATGCTATTTCTTATGCTTTTTTGGAGCATTTTAGTAGGTGGTTCTTTTTCATTTCCATTTTTTTTCTTCCAAATTAAGAAACGCATTTTCGCAACATATCCCCTAACATTACCCTTAATCTCTACAAGGAGAACATAGATCGTACCATGCACTGATCTAGTAGTAGATTGTCTCAAATTGGTCAAAAAGACTCTTTTGTTTTTAATTTAGAGACTTAATCCTTTGGAACCTAACATGATAAAGGTTCCTCCCATGGCTCACCAAAAGGGTTTTTCATTTTTTATTTATTTTTATTTTTTGCAATGATTTCCCTTTTGTCCTAGACAAAGTATCACAAGGCTCAGGAGTTCTTTTCATTCTATTCTTCTTATTCGAACTCTATATAATAAGAAGCGAGATGAGATGAGACCTCCTAAAACCCTCCGGCCATCCATCAGGAACCAACTACCAAACCACCTCAAACCACCATTCACCACACTGTTTCATCATTCCAATTCACAGTCCTCCTCTGGACATTATCCTTAACCACTCTCAGTACCACATAACTCACCACCTAAACCATCTACAACTAACTATACCACCAAAACCAACCCCTTCACTGATCCTAAACCACAACCAACCTCCATACTAAAAAATCCAGCCTTTTTCGCCCACCAAGTAACCATAAAAACACAACCCCAATCAAAAATGTTTCTGTCAAACCTGCTAGGAAGATTAACACTACCACAAACAAATACACCCCTGCCAAGAAAATCTCCTTCTCCACCTACACCACCACTAAACAGTTAGGGTTTCAAACCTCCAGATTTGTGGATGACCACAACAACATCTTTGCCGATATTGACCCAGGAACACCTAAGCCTTAATTGATGAAATATATAGACAACGTGTGGAGCTGAATGAGTTCAAAAGTAACTATACCTACAACCACTTGCTTGAAGAAGTTGAATGGCTAAAAGGACTCATAAGAGATAGTCTCACAGCCCAGGCTAAAATGAGATCAAAAATCATTGCCCTCTCTGACCAGATCATCTCCTTTAACCACTCCTCTATGCTACAGATCAATGGAGGCCTTCATCATGAAGATGTTACTATTGTTGATTCTTCACTACCACAACCAGCAGAGGTTCTACCACCAATGGGAAACACCTCCACCACCACCATTAACCACCACAAACATCACATCAGCATCAAAGATGCTGGTGGCTCTGGTTTGATTTTGAATTCAAACCACCCTATTGGACCAACAGGTAACACCCTTCTAGGTCTTACACCACATCAGCATGCTCACACCAATACTAAAGACCTACCCAATGACCCTACTGTTGGGAAACGTGCTAGTTTTAAAAACTTTTCGAGGGATTTTCTTTTACAGATCTTGATTCATCACATAGAGACAAGTTTTATGCAAAAATAAAATATGATGTATCATTCAATTAATGGATTGAATACTTACATTAAAGCTCTGAGTAAACCTTTAAATCTTTCCTCTAAAGTGAATGTTTTCACTTATTGTAGATCCCTTAGCAAGATGCCTTCTCCTTGGATCTCCATCTCCTTGGTAATTGTTTTGTCTTTAGGAATCACTCATAAGCCTCCATGAATGACCTTGGAAAACTAGGCTTGTGGGAGCCTCCATTAGATGAGAACATAAACCCTAATTTTCTAGAGAGAGAAAATATATATTCCTTTTTCCTTCTCATAAAAATCACCCCTCAAATATCTATAGATCATGTATAGTTATAGGCAACATAAAGATAAAGAAAAGGAAACAACAAATCCTTCTCAATCTCTAATTCACAAGTTTCAAATCTAATATGATTCCAATATCAAGTTGGGCTATGAGTGAGAATCCATTGGGCCTATTATTTTATTGGCTACAATGAATTAATAATTGGCCTGGTCCATGGACCCAATTCAATTAATACATAAATTAATTTCTACTCCACTAAAAGAAATTAATTGAACTCCAATTAAATAATAAATAACCTCTAAGTCAATATTGCACTTTAACCCATCTATGCATAATTAGTTATCGGATAAATAAAGCCATCAATCCGACTACTTAATTAATATATTTATTTTGTTACCTTTGATTATTTCTGGCTCGATCACAATAAAACATTTGTTTAACAAAAATAATAATTTAAATAAATAAATATATAATAAATCATTTTGTCTAAAAACATACGAAGGCCTTCGAATTTACTTTGTTATTGTAATACCCTTAATTTTTGAAAGGATAGTCTCGGTATTTTGTTTAATTGTTTTCTTTTCATTACTTGTTTTATTTAATGTTTTAATTGGTTTAAGTGTAATTAATTGTTTTCTTTTCATTAATTGTTTTATTTAATATTTTAATTGGTTTAAGTGTAATTAGTTGTTTTCTTTTCATTAATTGTTTTATTTAATGTTTTAATTGGTTTAATTATAATTCGTTGATAGTTTGACCTGGCTGTTGACTTTGTTTAATTTTATTTTCTTACGTGTGTTATTTAATTTTTAATTATTTGTTAAATGTTTTACTTAGTTTTATTTGGTTAATTGGTATAAAGTTTAAGTGGTAATTAAAGTAAAATGGTTACTTTGTTGTTTTAAAATAAAAAAAAAAAAACAACCGTGACTGTTGTATCGTTCCATTAGGTATACACAGTAGCCGTCATGGTATAAACTTGAAACTTCTGTATGGGCCGAGCAAATCCGATTAGGGTTGAGGGAACTTAGGATTTGTGTGGCCTATAAATACTCACTTAGGGGTCTGCCTAGGGTTTTAAAAAGAGGATTACAACATCGTAAGTCTAAGGCAGTTTTAGAGACGGCAGGAAAACAGAGAGCAAACAGAGGAGAGTTTCGCCGGAAAATATAAACGAACGTCGGTGGGAGGCAAGTTCTATCCTTACTCTCTCCCTTAGGTTTCGTGTTCTTTACATTCTTAAACAGTTTTAGGACTAACTAAATCAACTAAACACATGCTCTGTTCGTGCTTAAACTGAAACTTATCAGTATGTGTTGTATGCTTAAAATTCTGTTAAAACGTGATAGTTGCTCGCATATATCTCTGTTTAACCTATGTATGGAATGCAATAAAGACTTAAACATGGACTGGGGAAAACTATTGGGGTTGAATTATAATTTCTGGAAACCATAGCATAGGGCGAGGAGTTGCAGAAGGGTTCTGAAGAAGAGGGAAAACGAAGAGGCGAGGCAAGAGAGGGAGAGAGCCGGCTCTCCCTTGGAGAGAGCCGGCTCCTCTTGAGTAGAAGCGGCTCCCAAGTGGGGGAGCCGGCTCCAGGTTCTAAAGGAGGCGGCTCCCCTTTTGGAGACGTCTCCTTTATGCATTTTTTTCATTTTTTTTGAGTTTCCAGCTAGTTTTGATTACAGGGGTTGGTTTTCTGTGGTTTTAGTTGGGTTTGGGGATGTATGTGGAGTGTGTGGATGATGCTTAAAGATAGCTACTTAAGTCCCAAGAGGTGTTAATAAGTTAATTACTTGGGTAGCTCGGACAACAAATAGTTAAATCAATGAACACACTGTTTAGAGTTTAAAAAATTCTGTTGGTAATATTTTTCTGAGACGGATAATATAATTAAAACATGTTTCACTTCATATTATGATCATGTACTTGAATTATAGTTATTTTGGATGAGTTGGTATCGAGTGATCTAGGTTTTAAATCAAACTTAGCATTACTGGATTCCGGGAGCACTATAGGATAGGCATGTATATATACCCACTGCAACTCTGTTTTAATGTTTTCATGATTACAGTTTGCATAAATTGTTGAATATGAACTTAGTTGATATTTACTTTAATACCTGTACTATCAACAGTTGGCTGTTGAAAGCTATTAAGATTTACACGTAATAGTATACCGGTTTTACCGAAACTAAGCATGTTTATATATACCGTGGTTCTGTTGTTGATACTTATCTTGTCACTGCTGGTGTCAATTTCTGGAATAATGGTTCTAGTTGATAGTTATCTTAATTGACTGTAATATCAACTGTTGGATGTTGTATGCTATTAAGATTTAAACTCAGTACTATATAGGATTTTATGAAAACCTATACATTAAGTATATTTATGAAAATACTGAAATTTTTTTTTGATGCCTTCATTATTACTGTCGGTATCAATTGTTGGAAACATGGATTTAGTTGATATTTACCTTAAGTGTAAGTTTATCAACTGCTGGATGGTTGGAGTATGCACCGGTATGGGACGGTGGCATACTAGGGACGGTTTGGATTCAAAACACCAGAACCTACCTACTCTGGATTAAGAATGGGATTAACTAAAAGTTAAGTCCTATTGATTGTAGTGTCATGGCAACAACTAGTTGAGCGGCACTACTAGGATTCAGGATGGATTTTAAATATATTGTTATGGTACCTCGATATGAGCTTGAGTCTCAGGATCGACGGTTAGGGAGCGTATATGCATTGGGATGCATAGCTGGATACGATGGTTAGAGGTGTACCCTATTTAGGTTTAGGTACACATGCCCACTTCATGTGCGTTTTTAGCATGTTACCTCTATTCAGGTTGAGACCGGCCTGTAGTCCAGTGAGAGTCCTTTAGTGTGACTATACATATATACACTTATGGACTATTAGCTATTGTTAAATTGTTTAGGATGTACATGCGTTTCAGGCCTCTATTTGGACTGTAGTAGTTTAGAATTTGCGCGTGGGCCTGACCCACTTCTATTTTTCAGGTACACGATAGTTCCAGGCTTAGACGTGTTCGTGCT